AATGAATGGAAAACAGATCGACCTATATCTCTCAGATACAAATCGATCTGCTAGTCTCAACTCTTGCTTTTCAGCAATCGATCAAAGTCGAAAATAAAATAAGATATAATATATTAATGTGCTTGAATAAAGTTAATTAAATAAAATGTAGAGATTTATTTCGCCGACGCGTTTCGTGTATTTATTTAATAATAATGAAACACTCTTCAGGGCTCTACATAAAAATACAAGCACAAAACAGAAAAAAATTAAAAAATACAGATATATAAAACTAAGTTTAAATATATACTGCAGGTAAATATACATTAGAAGTAGTTTATAACTACACCTATCTGTATAAGAAAAAACTCTTTCATTAATTCGAAATCATTAATTACAGTGAAAACGAAGATTTTACAGAAAAGAGTAAAAAGATAAGAAGATGATGGTATAGCATTTCAAAAATAATTAGATCAATGTATGAAAATATACAGTTATTTAATAAATTGAGCTAATAAACCGACCACTATTACGTAGTCTATAGAGACTTTTAATGGGATCAGTTTGGCTATACCATTTATACTTGAACAGAAACCAGATCAGTCGACTGCATAGTTACATATCAATATTTATTGATCTTGTATGCATTAAACGTCTTTGTAAGTTTTTTACATTACGGGTACCAAGAACTGGTACAACTTCGTTAATTGGTGATTGTCCAAAGTATTTGTTCCATATAGCATGAAATTTACTGGGAAATGTTTTCATGCCTGAGCAATAAGTAAAATGAATAAACATTGTTTTGCCATAGTCTACTGGTACTGTTTCTTTGACAGGAGAATGTATGATTCTTTGTCGGAAGTTATTATAATTAATGTATGTCAGTGGCTGATCTATTTTTAATTTTAATAAGACCAGATTAAACTGTTCATGGATAAATTTATTTGGATATTTATTAACCATAAGTGCCATTCGTAATTTTTCACGTTCATCAAGATAGGCTTGAAATGTTGAACAATATCTAATAACACGGAGTAACATCGTAAATATGATATTTTTCTTCATATGTAACGGATGTATACTATTAAATGGCAAATAATATGGTTCATAAGATGGTTTCTGATAAATTGTAGTAAATAATTGTCCATCTTGATTTTCGATATGTAAATCGAGAAAATCAGCTGTTGAACCAATATTTTCTGATAATTTAATATTTTCATCAAAATGGTTCCATCTGTCAATTTGTTTAAATAAATGTCGAGCTGGCCAATTTATAGCTATAAATATATCATCAATGTATCTAAAATAAAGTCCACCACTATTTTGTATTTGCTTTATAATTTGCTGTTCATAAAAGAACATATAACAATTAGCCATGGTTAAAGTAAGTGGAGAACCCATAGCTCCACCACGAATTTGATGATAAAATTGGTCATCGTATGAGAAATAATTATTCTTCATAACAAATCGACTTAATCGAATAATTGTTTCAATTTTAAGACCACCCATTTGTTTTAATTTTAGATGATCTAACATTTTCTTTAATGATAATACTCCTTCGATTTGTGGTACCATCGTGTAAAGATCAGCCACATCAATAGTACAAAATAATGTTTCTTGACGTAAATTATTATGTGACCATTTTTGTAAATGTTTCACTAGTTCAAAGCCAGAAATAATCGTTGTCTTTGAAGACATTTGATCAAAAAGAGGTCGAAGTAAATCATCAAGAAATTTAGAAATTTTTGTCGTCGGATGTTTCAAACTAGAAATTATAGGACGAAGCGGAGTACCAGGTTTATGAGTTTTTGGTAAATAATATAGATGAGCGAGCTCAACGTCATTTAGATTAATACTTAATTGTTCATATTGTTTTTGACTAATCCATTTGGCTAAGCGTAAGTCTAAAAGATATTTATTGGTACGACGAATTAAATCTGGTAATGGATCATTAACACCAAGACATTGATATGCTTTAGTTTTCTCCATATATTCATCCGATTTCTTACGATAATCGATGGATTTACCTAGATGAAATACTTTAGACTTATCACTCTTTCGTAATATTGTGTCAGCCAATTTTAATTTATATCTCAATCGTTTGACTAATCGACCATAATTTTTCTTCTTTCTTATAATTATTGGAGGATTTTCATTTTGAGATGAGCTTGGAATATTTCTATGTTGCTTGGCTGTTGATATATTGTGTAAATTTTGAAGCAAGACATCTAATTCAGTAATAAATTGTTCGACAGGACGACCGGGGCTTACCTTCTTATCGAAAAAACGAGTTTCAATTTTTCGTTTCAAAGTTGCCAACTCAGTAGGTCGTTGTCGAGATGCCATTTTTGGATCATTGAATATAAATCGAGGGCCTAGTACTAATAATTGATGTTCTTGCTCAGTCAATGGTATATTTGCTTCATTAATTATTGCTGGAGCGAGAACTCCGGGCCAAGTACTCGAAGAGGAGTCGGGGCAATTATTTCTTCTTGTTGGTTGTTAATTTCGCCCTCGACTCTTTGTACTTCTAAAAAATGAAGCGATTGTTCAAGTTCTAAATTTAATCGTTTTCTACGTAATTCATGGTAATGTTTAAATGATGCATAACCAGCTTCAGCGTCAAAACCTTCATCATTATCTTTTGGAAAATTCTCAATAGTACGTTTAATTTCATTAGATAATAATTCATGTTCTCGAGCTAATGATTGAACATATAATGTCATAGCTTGAGTTCGAAAATCTTTAGTAGTTTTACGCATTTGATCATACATAGCTTGTGCTTCATCTTTACCAACAACTGATTCATCAATTTTAAATGAGAAGTCAATTTTATCAATAAATTTTGGAAGAATATCATATTCGAGACGTTTCGTGGCCACGCCATAATTCTTATTCTTTGTTGAATACAACTTTACTTTTGATTTTAACATCAAATGAATATTCCATTGAGATGGAGTTGCCACTTGTTCGAAATCTTCTAAAGCCTTGAATTCTTCCATTTCAGCTTTAGCTAATTGAATACGACCTAGAAACATCTTTTTAACATGTGAAGTATTCTTATAGATGTAATCTAATATTTGAGATTCAATTCTATCTACAGTTTCACGAACTGGATCTTTATAAGTATTAGCTGTTGTTGTAGCGTTGGCAGCTGTAGTAGTTGTTGTTATAGGAGCCGAACTTGCAATTTGTGCCGTTGACTGATTGGTTTTTTCTTTTTCTGCTATCAGTGCAGCTATTCTTTGTGCAAATGCATCTGAATTTGCATGTGACCAATAATCAATCAATTGCAATTGAAAATCAATAATTGTAGCATTTGCTTTGGCAATATTAGCTATTAATCGATTAATTTTCTTTTGTATAAACCGAGTATTTGTTATATCGTCACGTTGTTTTGTTCGTCGAACGACTTCTTTGGCCCAATGTTTTTTCTCAGTACCCATTTTTAAATATGCTTGCCAGAGTTGTAATTCATAATTATCTCTAACCCATGCATCATAAATTGAAGCTGTTGCTAGAAGATAAGCTTGATTTGCACGTTGAGAAACTATTGGCTTTGTAGTTCTTGAAAAACTATCAAACCATTTGAGCATTTGATCTGGCAAGAGATAACAACGAGTATTTTTCTTATACTTTGCTTTAGTCATTATTGGTTCATCGTCATTATCATTATTATTATTATTATCATCATTACTTACGTTTNACTGGTTCAAACCAACAACAACAACGGCAAGATCGACGCCGTCCTAGGCAATTAAAATTAAATGATTTTATGCCACCATCATTACTTACGTTTTCATCAACCAATGCAGCAAAACGATTATTAGTAACAACATTTTTCTGACGATATCGCTGTTGTCGAAGTCGACGTTGTCGACGTCTAAACGATGCAGTCGTCGTTGTTGTTGTCTGCTCTCTTTCGATTTGTTGTTGTTGTTCTTGATCTTGATCATTTTGATTAACAACAAATGGTTGTGTAGTACTGGCTGATGCGAAGATTTGCCGCTGTGGTAATGCATCAGGTGGAGCACTTGATGTTGCTTCTAAATTAAAGTCTAACGGAAGACTACGTGAATTTGGTGATGTGTTACGTAATGATGGTGGCATAAAATCATTTAATTTTAATTGCCTAGGACGGCGTCGATCTTGCCGTTGTTGTTGTTGGTTTGAACCAGTACTACTTAGACGATTTTGACTTGATTTTCTTTGACGTCTCGGTTGTTGATTCAAATTACCTTGCCTTTGTTGTCGCTGTATATTGCGACGATAATTATTCTGATTGGAATAATTTTGGCCTTGATAATTAGTTAAATTAGGTTGGTAACCATTAAAATTAAAAGGAGTGTTCCCATAGTTCCAGGGATTACTTCCATAATTAGATTGATTGCCAGCGAAGTTGGATAGATTTCCCCCAAAGTTGGATGGATTAGCACCAAAGTTGGGTTGATTAGTCCCATAGTTGGGTTGATTGCTTGCAAAATTAGACTGATTACCCGCAAAGTTGGATAGATTGCCCCCAAAGTTGGATGGATTGCTCCCAAAGTTAGGTTGATTGCACCCAAAGTTGGGTTCAAAGTTGGGTTGACTGCACCTAAAATTAGACTGATTGCCCCCGAAGTTGGGTTGATTGCCCCCAAAGTTGGGTCCAAAGTTGGGTTGATTGTCCCTAAAATTAGACTGATTGCCCCCGAAGTTGGGTTGATTGCCACCAAAGTTGGGTTGATTGCCCCCAAAGTTGGGTAGATTGCCCCCAAAGTTGGGTTGATTGCCCCCAAAAACACCACCATATGATGGTGGTGCTGCTGCTGGAGGTGGCTGTTGTACAGGCATTGGATTAGTGTAAGATATTGACGACATCAATCGTTAAATAAGTTGAGAGAGAAATGGATTAAATTAGAATAAGATTATTCGAATAATTTGATCCCTGATACAATTGGATAGACGTAAATGAATGGAAAACAGATCGACCTATATCTCTCAGATACAAATCGATCTGCTAGTCTCAACTCTTGCTTTTCAGCAATCGATCAAAGTCGAAAATAAAATAAGATATAATATATTAATGTGCTTGAATAAAGTTAATTGAATAAAATGTACAGATTTATTTCGCCGACGCGTTTCGTATCTTTGACAAGATAGTACTCTTCAGGGCTAGAGTTGTATGTTTATCTAGAACAGAAAGCAAAAGAGGGTGTGAATTAGAATAATAGCCAAACCACGAGAACAGGTTGTTTCTGTCCATGGCGGGACTCATCAGGTGGTATCTTAATATTATATTTACTAGATAGTAATTCTTAAATTATGGTATATAACATTTGAATTACTTTTCGATATAATAATTAATATAATCATTTGCACATATAAATTTTTCGAATAGAATTAACTGATACAAGAATTATATACAATTCAAGTAGTCAATGTCTACCCATAGTGAAAAATTTTTTTACAAATATCAAAGACTTCTAAATACAGCGGGTGTGTTTCAAGCATACCATGATCTAGATTTCGACCTTGCTAAAGGGTCTCATCAGATGGCTATGACTCTGCTATACTCGTTTTAAATGATTTCAAAGTAGAAATCACAAACAAAGTATAATAATCTATACAGAATTCCAAAGAAGATTCAAAAGAATCTAATTTTCGAGCCGATAGATATAGTTACTGCAGTGGTGTGTCAAGCATACCATGATCTAGATTCCGACCTTGCTAAAGGGTCTCATCAGATGGCTATGACTCTGCTATACTTGTTCGATTAATCTCATTAAAATTCAATCAAAAACAAAGTTTATTAATCTATACAGAATTGATCAATTGAAACAGATCAATCTATATCTTTAAATAATATAAATCAGTATACTACTTTAAGCTTTTGCTTTTCCGCAGTCGAGTAAGTGGAAACTGAATTAAAACATGTATTTATATATTGTGGTTGAATTAAAAAGAAAAATTGTTCAAAATAAATGCAAAATTAATTGTTTTCGCCGGCGCGTTTCGTATCTTGGATAAGATAGTACTCTTCATAACTAATGATATATGTAAATATCTAAAATAGATAGAAATAAAGGAGAATAATTATTATGTTTTTGTTATTATTGTTATTATTATAATTATTTAAAGATAAACATAAAAAATGTTGCAAAAAAAAGAAAAGAATTAAAATGTTTTGTTTTTTTAGAAGCCAACTCTATCTATTGTTGCATGCATATTGAAGATGACCAAATATTGCCATTTATTCATTCTAAATTGAAGAGTAAATTCAATATAAAAATTAGTCAAAGTAAATAAAATATTACTTTTTCATTTGTATGCTTTACCCTTATATAATGTTGAATTTTGTCAGTTTCATTTTTCATTAATAACTATTGCAAGTTTTGTGACACGTTGACATTTATGAAGATGAAAATTGATCTTATGGTGATTTTCTTGAAATGTATATACTATAGCATCCTTGAGAGACCAATCATCATGTGGACATTTATGTGGACGATGTGGACATGAACATAACGGACCAGCAATACCATCGAAATCAATGATCTGACCATAATTTTCATTATGACCGAGTGTTCCATTATACTATATATAAAAATCTTCTTTTATATTAACTGATCAAATTTCCTCAAGATTATCATAGATGAAGAAATTATAATCTCTATAATCCATTAAAGTAATATTCGATATTACCCCATGTTTGAATGATATTCAATGAATCGAAAATAGGTAACAGTAATTGATCTATTCAATGATAGAAAGGGGTCGAGTTCAGGAAGATTGCAATAGTTGCAATAATAGATTGTGCCTCTGGCATAAATTCTATTTCAATAAATCCTATGCTGAATATTTTACCATACTAAGGAAGAATTGTAGACCTTGTTGTTTTTTTAGCTTGAATGGTTAATTCATTTACTATTGTATGCAACAATGCAGCATCAACAAAAAATTTGATAAATCTTTCATTTGTTTAGCCTTCTTGATTCTGGTATTCTTTATATATGTGTTCTAGAAGTTTTCTTTTAAAGATTCGACAATACGGGTCGATGCGGCTATGTTAGAGCTACCACAAGGCGTTTCGATGCTGCTAAAGATCTCATCGTATGAATTAAGTGTTTAATTTGATTCAATAAAGAATCGATTCAATATCAACGATACTCTTTTAACTATATCAAGTAGAATAATCATATACTCAACAATAGCATGTCACAGAAATAAAAGAGTA